AATTCGAATTAGTAAGGAGAACTGGAACTGGGTTAAGAAAATCATTTGAAAAGGAATGGCTCATTATTGGTTCCAGTGCTTTGTTTTCTTTCAGAGTAGTTTTTGGTAAAGGCTTACGCACTGTGTGCTCAAACTGGTTTAATCGTGCAATTTTTGTATCTTGATGAGGTTGCAGTTCCCCTGCAAATCTTTGGAAATAAAAGCTGGTCTTTTTGAAGATTCGGTTTATTATAAGCGACCTTGATCCTTAATTAAGTCAAGTAGAGTAGTATTTTGCTACTGCAGGAACTGAGCTAAGATGGCTGTGATGATCTGGTCGGTCTGATTCATTGATGAGAAAACGACGAGTAGGAGGAGTGACGGGGGCCGTGTGTGAGTGTGATCTGAACGATGTCACCTGTGTGCAGATGAGTCATCCACCACCAGTGCGCATACACCCGACCAACCCCGCGCATTGATTTGCTACCAACCAGAACCTGACACAGTGAGGCATTACCTATCCTAATTGTTTTGTTTTTCTTTCTTTGCCCCTTCATCAGTTTTCGTCAAGAGATCAGTTAATTTTTCTATTTAATCAAAAATTTCCCAGCCAATCAATAAGCTGTGTTTATATGCATATTCATGAACTCTATTTACTTCGTTTTATTTATCTAAATTTTAATAATAATAATTCCCATTGTTGAGAGGTCCCCATAAAAAGTCCCAATAGTATTGATTGATTGGACAAAGTGTGTGTTTGTCTAGTGAAGTGTCGTCGCGGTGATGAATCGGTTCCCAAGTGCTGTGCATTTCTCGATCTTCGTTTATCACTTTCGGGACAGCAGCTCAATTTTTTGAAGTGTTTATTTTTTACCGTTGCCTCATTCTTTTCATTTTTTCTAGGGTTTTGCAAGCCATTGGTTAGTTTCCGAGCCGACCGTGGCCTTCTTGAGCACTTAAGTATTCAGTACTCAGTATTATCAGAACTGTCAGTATTACTTCACTGCCATGAAAAGAGCTATTTTGGACGGCTATGTGATAAATAAGGTCCAGGACTTGCTAATGAAAATGGAGAGGAATTTCAAGGTTCAGCACTTTGTTTAGTAAACTTTCTTATATTTGATGGGTCATAATGGAGTCCTGCTCTGCAATTGTGCATCTGAAGGAAATAATGATTTTGTGTAATTCCAATTGGCATTTAAGGATTCTAAAGTGAATGTAACTAATTGAATGGTTATTCATCAGTTGCGTCAATGTGTCGCTGATTTTTCTACGTCATAGCGGTCCTGAAATTCCATTAAAGGACGAATTTACTTAAAAAGTACTTTTCGATCCGATCACCAAAGTGGAGTTGGATTATGCAGAACTGAAGATGTCTAAGGAATTAAAAGGGTTATTGCTCTATACTCCTTCTGCATTTTGTGAAGCACCAATTTTAGTATTCCACTGGGATATGCTTTCAGCTTTTTTGCTTCTAATTTACCCCTGTGTGTTAGTGTTTTTGTTATCGCCATCACTTTATTGTACTAATTATTGAATTTTCCTGTGAGTTCACTGGAACAGACGATGTTTTGAACGATTTGGTTAGTTTTTGTTTGGGGCGCTTATTGAATGAGCGATTGTGATGAAACAATGCGATAACCGCGGAAACCAAATGATAACCATCACTGAAGTGTGATATTGATGATTGGTTCGCTTCGTTGTATTCCTCAGGAAATTTAGAAGAAAGCTACTCGTTGAGGAGCGGTTTCAGCATTTTCGTGTAGTAAAGTATGTGGATTCTAGGCACTGTGTCAGGAAAAAATGGTTGTAAACTAGTAATGATCTGGTTTCCTTTGGGCCAAATGCAGCGGAAAAAGAGCACGTAATTCAAAATCAAGTCATTTGAAAGACACTAGTTTTTTGGCACACGTTGCTAGAGCTCATCTAATCCTTTTTCATCGCCTTGTTTGTTGTAAGTTCAAAAGGTTCTGTCGAGGTCCTCAAGTTCATAAAAGCTTCTCTTAGTTGCAGCAACGTAAGGCCCTAGGCCGAAACTGTCTAGACTCAAACACGGCCGTGATTCATAACCCTGAAGTTTTGGTGGGTTTGCAACAAATTTTTTTCCAAAATTTTTAGTTCAAGTCTGAAAGGACACTTCTTCTAAAAGCCATGTAGAACACACTGTCCTCGATCAGCTTAACACACACCTAATGTAGGTCTTATGGAGTTTTACCTCAGTAGTCTTCTGTGCGCTGTTATAGTTGAGTCGGTGCTTCAATAAATAAATAAATAAATAGTAAAATGATAATGAGGCTTTTGCCATTTCTAAATTTATTTATTTATTTGCAAAAATTGCAAAATATGTGTGATAAATGTTACTGCCAGTCATTGCAAGCGCTTTTCGCTCAGCATTTCTGAGCAGGCGAAGCGAGCGCTGAATAGCTGTGTGAGAATCTCTCAATGAGTCATCGCTCTCGTTGTGCTCGTATCGCTCCTCTTCGCTCCGGACATTCTCAATGGTAATTAGGGGACCTTTCAATGGCTGTTCAGTGGAAAACTCATGCAACGTTGTTGTGATGAAATGACGTGGAGATGGGTGTTTGGTACAGCGCCGTTCTTTATGTTAGTTACGATTGCTAAGAATAGTGTATGAGAACGGAAAACACGTACACCGTGGGAACAGATTTGAAGGATTTTTTCTGGTACCAGGGCGCTTCATTTGAGACCCAGTTTCGCCGCCAACAAGCCAAACCACAATTGACTCCAAGATCATTCGTCGTCACCGATGTAGTAATCAACCACTAGTCTCCAACGGCGCTCCTGCCCCAAAAACGTTTCATCACAATGTGATAATACATAGCCCCCACCCGGGAGTCCGAAGGGTAACATAGATGATCGTCCTGCACATATCATACAATAGAAGCGCAGATCCGCACAAGACGTTCAGGGGTCATTTTGCTCACAAATAGCACGACTTATGATCGTTTCGATTGGACGAATTGATTTCAAGTGGAAGGGTGCTGAAAGTCTGTGCTGAAGAAACTGAAGCAAATGTTTCCGCTCATAACTCATAGAGAATTTTTTCATAGATACAAAGGGAAAGGGACTTTTTGCCTCTAACAAATCTGGTTTTCCAATGTTGTAATAGTTAGCAGTGAATAAATAAATGATTTGGAAAGGTTTCTTGCAGAAGAATTCATCAACCCTTTTCAGAAGGGAGTTAGTCATCGTTGTGTTTCCGCTAAGGCGTGGAAATGAAAACAGATTATTCCCTGTCATCGTTTAATGTTACGAATTCCATCATTTTATCATTATCATCATTTTTGTTCATCGGAAATTAATGAGTTTTTATTTTGGCTTATGATCGTGATAGTAGTCTTGAAATGATAATGTCGCTCGATGTGACTGTGAAAATCAGGTTCCGTTTGTTTTTATTATGATAAATGAATGCTGAATGATCAAAAACTTTGGTAATGTGATGACGAGATGATTCATTGAACTGGTTGCTCTTGATGACTCTTATGGAAGGATGGTCGCCCGGGGAAGTATTCATTTTCGGACATTGGCGTTTTCTCGGATCGGCAGATGCGAAACGAATCACATGCAACATCTGTGAATCATCGCGTTCATGTGACGATAAGTGGTACCGATGAGTCCCGAAAATGCGGGTGACGTCACGCGTAGAGAAGGGCGACGGAGGGTTTGTGAAGGGAGAATTTGTCACAGGATTCATCGTGAGGGTTATAAGGGCCATGCGTGCTGACTTTTGATAAGAGGACAACTTTTTGATTTGAGCTTATTCTATTGTTGAAGAATTTCTTTCCGAATTTCTTAGCTTTTTTTTTATTTGTGCGGAGTCTTTTTTCCAGTAAAAATTCGGAATAGAAGTAGAATGGGATGTTATCTCGAGCAATTGGTCCCTTTTGGGAGTGGAAACGAACTGCTGGTGCTGATATGTGAATTGCTTGGTTTTTTGATGGCTGTAATCATTATCAGATGATTGCTCATGTAAGAAATCTCTGCGAATGGCCACACCCAAGGTCATGTTAGTTGAATTTGACCCATTGAATTGGAGTACTTGCTGAACTTGAACAACTGAGCTTGATGAAAATTGATGAGATTTTATTGAAATCTATGAAAAGACTAGTTTTATTTGCCAAATTCTATTT